GTATTGTACCCCAGACTCACCCGCCACCAGTGCCTCCGTTCTTGCTGAAGTGGGTGCGCGGCTCACTTGACGCCAGCTTAAGCAGTTCATTCCATTCCCGTTCCCACTCTTCCTCTGTATATACTAAGCCCGACTAAGGAAGATAATGAAATACCTTTAAAATTATGCTGATACAAAATATAACTAGAGTTCTGCAGTGGTATTTACAACTAGACAATGTATTTTGAGTTTCAAAGGCAAAATATGGTTTAATATTAGGGGTTCTATGTTCACCTTGTCTATACAGTCATCATCTACATTATCTAGTCTATGTTTAGTTTTGGAGACTGAAATATAATTCGTTACAAACCATCTCAGAACGTGTTAGATATGAAACTGTATATTTCTGCCCACAATGACAAAAATACATCTGCATTTGAATACTCAAATTCTAAACGCAAGTATCTCTTTTCAAATGAAAAACTGAAACACAGAAAATTACGTAGCAATTAAACGTTCACACCAAACTTGAGAGGAATACTCTTGACCCTATATGATGTTAACAAGACTGTCCTCAGGGTACACAGACCTCCTTATTCTGCTGAGTCTGTTGCCATCTCCATCTTCTTTTCAGGGCTTCCCTTTCAGCTCCAGTTCTCATCATAGTGTAGAGTGCTTTACGCAAGACAAGGTCCCGATCATGAAAACCCCACATCCCTACAGCAGCACAAGACGACACTCAGTTTTAAAGAAGCTACAGTGAAATAGAAACAGTATCAATACAACCAATATTGTTTTAAAGCAAAAACAAAAATGAATGGCTCATTCATTATTTAAGTTGCTTTTAGTAGCAAAAACATCATCCATTTTTAAGGTTTGCTAATGAAACCACCAATACAGACAAGCTAGTGAAAATTCTAACAAATTTTAAAGATTGATTAAGGACTTAAGACTTGAGTTGATTCAGTATTTCGTTTCCTTGCAACTTCAACTTTGCTGTAAGTAATGGAATATTCAGTATAGAGGTTTTGATTTTAGCTGGAATTTCCAACATGGACACTAGAATGGTACTGACAGTTGTATCTCAAATGATGATACAGACACCCATAAGACTCTGCTCTTATACAGCCTAATAATTTTCCTTCGCTCTGAATCCTAGAAGAGAGATGAGCATTCGTGATGACTGGAAGTCTAAAAATACAAGCAGCCACAGGCTTTCAAGATCCTTTTAAGATAATAAAATGTCTTATGTACTTGAAAACTGTACCCTATGATAAAAGAGAGTGAAGCCTTCACCAGGACATTTGCCTATAGGCAGCCATGTTTCAATTATTATATTGTCAGCTGCTGTCAATTAATATGTTTATTTCAAACTTTTAAAGTCAAGCATTTGCTATAAATAACAAAATTCCTTGAAGTTGAAAATAGAGTAGGCATAGATAAAAGGGCTCTTAGAAACAATAAAAATCTGTTTCTCTTGTTATTTCTTCAAAAAAAAAATCAAGTCTTCCAATGATTAAAAATCTCTATATTTCTAAAAATTCGTCTTTGGGAGTTTTATTGGTGCAAGATTTTAGCAATAATAACAGAAAAATGAATTTCCTCAAAATACTTATAACAGGGAAGACCTGTTACAGGTTTTCAGTTTCACGGATTTTTTTATTTATTTGGTAGCATTTGAAGGAAGCTTTCAAAGGTCTTGTATTAATGATTAATGAACTGGAATTTATTTTTAATTCATCCCAAACTCTCTCCCCCATGTAATTAACATCTCTAAAGCATGAACAGAGATAGTAAGGACATACTGTGTTCTTGAAGATAGTAGGACCACTGTTTAAAAAATGCAAATGAAAAAAATGTAATTTCTCAACCACAATATAGACAACCCTGTAGAAGCACCAAAGCTGCACCTGTACCAGGACTGCTGAATTGGACTAGGTATGGAAAACGTGAATCACTGTCATCTGTGATTAAAGCTTTATGATACTGTTCCAGATTCATGAAAGTCTTTGAATGTCATGTGCTTGAGCTTTTTACAGGGATAAGGAAGAACAAATATTATTGGTAAAAGACTTGTTGCGCAGATTCTCCCTTACCTAAAGAGGCAGCATGCAAGAGGCAGTTTCCATCGCCTGTTGTAGCCAAGGGAAGCAGACGTTTGCAGCTTGTGCACACTGTGGACCACCAATTCAGTCGTCCTGAAAAGAAATCACACATTAAAATGGCTAAAATGCTAAAACAAGATAAACACTGAGTACAGGCATATGTGATGATGAATAATGTTGAAGGTTAACTGTAAAAATCCTTTCTGACAAACAAACTTCAATGTAATGCTAGAAGGACAAACTAAAAAAGATTAGAAGAGAACTATAAATGTGTATTAGGTAAGATGAGAGAACCTTTAATTAATCTGCAACTTCCATTCTCCAATACTTCACTCAGTAAAAGATTTCCAAGGATTTCATTGCCTAAATACCCTTTTGAAGGTGGGTATCAGTTTCCAAGTACAACAGCCATCGGCATCCTATATACAGATCATAGATGATATCAGGGCACTCAAGTCTTGGAAGACAAGGATTGTGAGTGATTTAGGAGTACAATTGTTTCAGTCGCGTGGATTGTTTCTAGTGCTGATTCTTTTCCCACTTACTATAGTGTAAGGCATGCTTTGGTCTACTGAAATCAACAGCTACACCACCAGAGAAGAATTAAAGATGAGACCACAGGGACAGCCCAAGGTCTAGGACAGCATGTAGATTCCTCATTTGAGAACATCACTTAGAAGATCCACTTACCCACCCTTGCTCTATGAAGTCTATTTTATGCATTATACAACAGAGATGGATGATGAAACAGAATGACAAGAGTACAAATATTCAGAGGCATCTGGATGAAGCAAACAAAGGCACGAAGAGTATCAATGTCAAAGACAAAATTGAGTATGTGACTCTTAGTTCATGAATTGCACTGTGGTAGCTTAGTGGAATGTTTAGTTTTGGCTCACTGATTATGTGATTTTTTTTTTTT